TATCTGTATTTGATCTGCTTTAACTGAAAATCGATAATTTTAGTTGTACTTGATGCGCTCAAAATTAGTTGGACCCATTAATTTGGATAAATAATCCAGGAGTTACTGTAATAGTAAATCAAACTTTAATCGAGAATATTAAATGGTTTAGTGGATTAATATATGGCTATGATGATAAGATTTACATCATGAATACTATAATTTAAAATTCTGATTCTTCTGGTTCGTCTACATTATTTTTGCAAAATACTTTTGTGTTTATTTAAAACCTCATAGTGAGGGATTATATTGGGGAAATAATGACTATAGCCCCTATATTATATTACATAGATTAAGAGCCTATTGAAATTAAAATAATAATGAAGGATTCATTATTGCAAAATGTTTATGCTAGTTATCATTCATCATATGTAACTTTTGCCATGGATGTATAAACATTAATTTTTGATAATATAACTGTTAAGAATATTGACTCTATGTTTATAGAGTAAATGGATAACGCTTTAATGAATTTGACAATTATAAATTCAAATTTTATAGGTATTACTCCAAAGAGATAAACTTTTAAATCATACAGTTAAAGATTAATTTAAATGATTCATAAAAATACGAATGTAACAATAATAAATAGCACTATATAATGCATGACTGGAATCAACAAAAAAGAATTAATTGGTGGTTTAAATGATGTTGGAATAATTTATATTGCTAATTCTATTTATGGCTTAACTACTTAAAATTCCCAATTTAAAAATTGCTATAATTCTTAATCAGGAAGCGTGATCAAAATTATTTCATCACTATACTCAGACTATAATTCTGTTTTTGAAAATAATGTTGCTTTAATAGGAGCTGCAATAACATGCACTGCCTGCAAATTATAAATGACAAAAACTGCATTTAAAAATAATTATGCTTAATTAGCTGGAGCTATTTTGGGGGAGAAAAATGTATCTATAGTATTAGATAAAATTAAATCAATACAAAATGAAGCAAGTCAAGAAGGTGGTTTCATATTATTAAGAGATGGTGGTTAATTAACAAGTTCACAAGCATATTTTCAATTAGCAAATTCAAACTAAATAGTAGAAACTACATCTAAAATTGGAGGTTTTATAAGTACTCAAAATTAGTATCTAGCAATAGTTTTTAAAAATATTACTGTTCTAGGCAGTGTTTCAGAATAATAAGGAGGATTTATAAGAGTATATTAAGGATAAAATCTATTAATTCAAGATTCCCATTTTGAAAATATAAAATCTCAAAAAGGTGCTTTTATTTTAAGTGATTCTAGCACTCTCACAATAGATATATAAAAATCTATTTTCATTTGTGATTCACAAATGATTTCCTAAACATAACCTATAAATCATGCTGATTTAGCTAGAATTGTTACAGATGGTTATTTTCATATTAGTAATGCAATAAAAATTAGTTCTGTTTAAAATCAATATATGCATTGCCGATCTTCCTCTTCTGCCGGCATCTTTACTTTGATAAAAACTAAATTTTTTGACAAAAAATCTGCTTTTAAATATAACTCTGGCAATTACGGTGGAGTAATTTAACTATATGATACATAGACTGAATTAATATCCTCAAAATTTAGTTTTAATTTGGCCATTATAGGAGGAGTAATTAATGCCCTTAAATAATCAAATATAACAATATATAATTGTGATTTCAATTACAATTAAGCAACAGTATCAGGAGGTGTCATTTATTTTTAAACTTCATTAGCTATGTATATTTTTGGTTCTGAATTTCATAGTAATTGGGCAGAGGAAAATTCGGTTATTGAGGTATAATAAGCTGATAAAAATAAAAATATCACCATTATTAAATCAAATTTCATTGAAAATCAATCAAATAAAACAACTATCTCCATAATGGACGCTAATATAAAAATATAAGATTCTATATTTAAGAACAACATTGCCTAGTAGAGAACTAAAGGAATTATATGCAATAATGCTAACATAACGATTGATAATTGTTAATTTGATAATTAGGAATAAAGTAATTTGTAGGCAGTTTAAGAAGAAAAGACAACTGGAGCCTTTATATAATTGATTCTAAACGTAAAAATGCTATTAACACGGACAGAATTTAGAAATGGAATAGCTTATTTAGGAGGAGCTATATTCATAGGCAGTAATTGTAATGCCGAAATTTTATAATCAAATTTTTTGAATAATAAGGCAAGAACAAAAGGTGGGGCTATTTATTCTTCATCATTTGCAAGCATATATATTGGAAATTAGACTTACTTTTAAGATAACTATGCTTTAGATTAAGGGGAAGATATGTATTTAATAAATTCATATAATCTAATTACAATTAATCATGTTGAAATTAGTAATAAAAAAGCAAAAAACTCTATTTATATAGAAGGAGCAAAATTATTTGCTTAACAATTAACTATAAAAGATATTTACGAAGGCAAAAATTCAGTTGGAGGAGCAGCAATTAACTGCTAATAATGCTCTGGATTTGATATTAGAAATTCAAAATTTATTAATCTTAAATCTTTAAAAGGAGGAGCAATAAATTTATTTGAAAAAGATAGTAGTAAAGGAACGAGTTAGCATCATTAAAACATGAAATACTAGATTTCGGACTCAACTTTTAATAATTGCTCTGCAATGCAGGGTGGAGCAGTAATGCTAGATAATGTATAATCAATCATTTTAACAAATAATCAATTTCTTAATAATAAAGCTGTTGGTACAAATGATTACTCAGACATAGTAAATGATCCATCTTCAGGAGGAGCAATTTACTATTCATGTAATAAAATATATGAGAATTGCCTTTTAAAATTCGATGGAATAAACAAATTCTGGTTAAATTAAGCACAAATAAAAGGTGGTGCAATATATTGGGATTAAATTGAGCCTATATTTATAAAATCTAATCTTAATTTCATAAATAACACTGCAAATTAATACGGTGATGATATAGCTTGTTTTTCATTGTAATTACTTTCAATTTAATAAGATGAATACTTAACTTAAATGATAAAATTAGGGCTCATTTAAAAAGATAATCAAAGATTGCTATAATAAAATAAGTCAATTTAATTTTAGCATAAAATTGAAAACTAGTAAAGTGGGGGCGTAATTCCAAATATATATATGGCTCTTATTGACAAATATGACTAGATTGTTGGATCTGATTTTAGTAGTAAAGTAAGGATTGCTGTTTAATCAAATAATGTAAACGGATAAGAAATAATTTATCCTCCAATTTTTGAGGGAAGCAGTGAATTCAAGGTGAATGGTGGAATTGCAGTAATTAGTAACATTATAATTACAGCCTAACCTGGAAATAATGTACTGATAACATTTTCTACTGACGGTATTGATTTAGAAAAATCCTCAAACATAAAAACTATGGAATAGATAGGGAAGTAAAATATAGACTTCTAAATAGATTTGTAGTTAAGATAATGCATTTTAGGGGAGTAATTTACTGCTGTTGGGAAATGTCTCAAATGTTAAGATAATAGCTATTCACTTATAAAAATGATTGAACCTGGATTTTGTGAAAAATGTCCTACAAGCAAGGCGAAATGCTTGGGTGGAGCGGAAATCGGCCCTTTGCCTGGCTTTTGGAGAAAGAGTAATACTACAAAGAGTATCGAAAAATGTTTTTACCAACCTGCTTGTCTTGGAATGATACCTCCTATCAATAATCCAATGGGAGAATGTCTTTTTGGATACAAAGGTATACTTTGTGCTGATTGTCAAACAGGCTATTCAAGAGATATGAATTTTTAATGTAAATAATGCCCTAGTTATTGGATTAATTCAGTGAGATTAATTTCAATCTTAGTTGGAGTAATTGTATTGGTTGTATTAATGGTTAGATCTACTCTAAATGGAGCTAAAGATACTAGTAATGTAATTAGTGTTTATCTAAAAATAATATTGAATCACTTTTAGCTTTTATAAATGACATCATCATTTGATTTCTAATGGTCTGAATAGATACTTGAATTTTTTGGAGTGACTAATTAAATGGCTGAAGTTTTCACACAAGTTTTTAGCATTGATTGTTTCCTAGATGCTAAAACTAATTCTGAATCC